GCGCACCTACACCCCACAGAGCTTGGGAGAAGCCCCCCATGCTGTGGGCTGGCACACTGTCCTGTAGAGCAACCAAGGTGAAGGTTTCAAAACATCTCTGGGAACAGCAGTCCAGTGATGTTTTGGCAGATTAGGCTCTATCTTCCTGTTACTTTTTTTAACCTCCTGTTTACTAAGGGCACATGTTCAATATTCCGTAAATAATAACAGAAAGTGTTTTCAATCAAACCAAAGCCCATAGAGTACTTTGACTCATTTCAGCAACTGCTGGCAAATCCAAATAAATGCCTACCTGCTAATACAGGCAGCATTAATGCGAATTAATAAGCCTGTAAGCACAGTTAAGTTCATGGGCACTAGCTCAGGCTCCTCTCGAAGTGAATGAAATTATTATTATTAAGAAAGATTTCATAACAGCATAGGATTAAACTTCATCCAAACATAGATGCAGTGTTGGTTTAACTAAATGCAGCATGGAAATGTTTTATTTATTGCATCAGTGCAGTTCTGCTACAGAGCTATAGCCCAGTGCTCATGCTTCTCCCAGTATCCAAAGGAAAGTCCTCTCTTCTGCTTGGAGGAAGAGATGCAAAGATTCGCACCAAGCACTGATGCCCATGCTGTATATGCTGGCAGGACAGCAGTAAGGCTCTGGCGCGGCTGGAGGGATGGACACCTTCATGTATGCACAAAACCAACTACATTTCCTGCAACTCAAAGAGGAAATTTATTTTTATGTTTTAAGACTGGTGATGCACTGCACCTCTTATCTGCTGCTAATAATTAAAATTGTCATGTCACGCAGTCCAGGTTCTTCAGTGCCTAATGCCCAAGTTTTCAGAACAGCTTGCATGCTACTATTGAGAGGTGTTCAAACTAGAATTATGAGAAAAATAAATAAAAACCAGGTAGGATTACTTTACATCAGCACCTAGAGGCATTGGAGGAATTTCCAGCCACATGCCATCAGCTTCATGTGAATGCAGCTAACTACTTCATTGCCTATAAGGCACGCTCCATGAATCTCGGAGTCCTAAAGGTCTCTTTCTCTGCCAGGGTTCCTAAGAACACATTTCTCTCATGGCTTCCTGTCTGCTCTTTGTCCTGTTACAGTGAGAAAGGCACTGTCTACCACAACACCTGCGTGTGATCTGCTTTTCTTAAGCACAGGGTTTAATTCTTGTCGTACAGCCTTGCCATGGGGAGTCCCATTGGGGTTTCTCTACTGAATCCAGCTGAGTCAGGACCTCACAGTCATAATCAGTTCTATGGACATGGCAGGGGAACAGAAGATCTGTTTTCATGAAAATGGCCGTCCTTCATCCAAGAATCCTTCACTAAGAATGGAGAGAGACTATTGCAAGAGGACATGATCTTAAGTGAAGCAATTCACAGGTCTATGATCCAACCCAAAATACTCGGAAATATCTTCTTCCAAATGTCACTCATTCAAGAAACCCTTTTTGCCAATCCCCTTTCCCATTTGCACACCCCCCTATCAGGGACTATACAGGAGCAAACGTTAGAGGCCTTTCTAGTCAGCTTTCCCTGTTTACATAAGATAACAAATGTATAACTGATAAAGGAAGATTTTTTTCCACATGGTGCATAATTAGACTATGGGACATATTTACTGAGAGAAGGCCCCAAAGTTAAAGAAAAAGAAAAGAAGGAAGGAGCAAGCATTTCATCAAGATTCATGATTAAGTGGCACTGTAACAACTGAACTTGATTATTTGGGGCTTTGATTATTTGACAGGCAGTCAAGCATAAAAATAACTCCATACAGAATATTCAGTTTATTCAGTCACTTCTTAAGAAGATGACACGTCTTTCCCTCTTCTGACACAGCCAATGTGCCCATTTGGACGTCAGGACATCAGATCAGACATGTCTACAATACAACAAATGTAAACTTTCACACAGTCACCAGCTCACACTTCTCCAGGCCCCAAAATCTTTCTTATGATCCTGGAGCAGCTCACGTTGGTGAGGAGCAACCCAGTAGCTGCAATATGATGAGCGAGGCTAAGAAAAGCCTAAAAAGTCAAAGGACACAGCCAGGAAAGTGGCAGCACTTGGTCAGCATCACCTTTCACCTACATCTTCTGAACTGCTTTCCTGATAAAAGATTATCTTGGAAAAACAAGGTCGTCACGGCTGCTCGTTCCAGCAGGTCCCAAGACCTGCCACACCACGTCCTCATAGGACCTGTCCACACACTGTTGCTGTGTACACACCACCATACCAAAAAAAGTTTATAGAATCACAGAATGGCTTGGATTGAGAAGGACCTTAAAGCTTATCCAGTCCCAACCCACTGTTGTGGCAGAGCTGCCCCTCACCAGCTCAGGCTGCCCATCCTCAGGGTCCTATATCCAACCTGGCCTTGAACACTGCCAGGGATGGGGCATCCACAGCTTCTCCAGGCAACCTGTTTCAAGGTACAACAGCTTTGATCATACGAAAAGCACCATAACTACTTTTTTTTTCTTCTTTTTTTTCTTCTTTTTTTCCCTAATGAGTAAATTGAGATACCAAAGGAAAACAACACAGAACAGGCCTGCAATCATAAGACTGCAAGAAGAATCAGGATTCCTCAGGGACATGCTTTCAAGAAGAGAGTTTAAAGATCCTCGTAGATATTTGCATTTTTTTCCTACCTCAAAAGCAGCACAGGTGAACAAAGTCAATGAAAATGACCTGGAAACCTACACTGAGAGTAAGAGTGCCGTAGCCTTGATTTTGATCTTGAAATAACCTGGCCTAAGCTCATGAATCATTTTTAATGTTTATTTTTAGAATGATTACCTTCAAACCTTCAGACATGTCCTTTAAATAGTTTGACACATTTGATACCTTTTCCATTTTTTCCATGAGGCTGAAAATATGATCTGTGAAGTCACATTTATCAAGGGAGACTTGTCCATCAACCATATCTCAGCAAGTACATTTCCAAGGGAAAGAACTGTTTGTTTTACAGCAGATGCAGGTTTTCCCAACACCTACCACAGGAAACACATCATGCCAGTATCCAGATATGCCAAAGCCAGCCTGCTCTTTCCACAGCTATGCTAAAGTTTTAGCCTTGAGTTGACAAAGCCTAATTTAGCTGGTAAGAACTTACTCTCACCAACATGAAACTGCATTCACCCCTCAGAGCTTCAACAAGCTTGGTACTTCAACAAACCCTTTTGGTACTCAAGATGGATGGTTTGTTGCAGCAATTCTGAGCACACTTTTATTTTATTTGTAGAGGTCTCCACCAGGTTTGGGAACATGTACAGCCACTGTATATGTGATTTCCTATCAGCACTGTAATCAGTCAGCACCACAAAAAAGAGGGAAATTTCTAGTCCTCTTTTTATCAAAACAGTCACACTAGTAGAGATCTCCATGAATGCAGCCAGGCCAGTATGACAGTATCCTATCTCCTTTTCTCTTCATTTGTGTTCACAGTGGCGTAAAGCCATTGGAGGCAGCACATGGAACCAGGACAGCAGGAGCCTGTTCTCTTCTAACCATAATGCAGCGGAACAGGGAGGCATAAAGAGCCCCACTTGTGGGGCACTGAGGGATTAAAGATCTTGTGATCCTCAACTGCCTTCACATCATCACTTCCTGCCACCCTCTTCCTCATTACGCTTCCCACAGAAACAGACCTCTGGAAAACTGTGAAATTGCCTTCTAAATCCAAATCCTCAAGCATCCCCACGAACACGGGCAACCTGGAGGAGTTTATTGTACATCATTATACATGGTTCGGTTCCACCAGTGAAGTCCTATTCATTAGGATGCCCTGAAGCATTAATACATTCGCATCACAGCTCTGTATATCTACAGGAACCAGGAATAACTCTGAAGAATTTGAACCCTGCAGAGACCATGTGATGAGCCTTCCAGTGAAACTGATGGGCTTTAAACATAGTAACACAGTGATCACCAGACAAGATCAAACCCAACCACTATCCTTGCTCAGCATCTGGTCTCCAGCCTCAGACATTTGGAGAGAAGCGCCGCACACCTAGCAGAAGGAAGAACAATTCTGTCACTGCCCACCATTGGGCATCAGCATCCACTAGCTTAGGTTGGATATCAGGAAAAACTTCTTCACAGAAAGAGTTGTTAAGCACTGGAATAGGCTCCCCAGGGAGGTGGTTGAGTCACCATCCCTGGAGTGTTTAAAAACCATTCGGATGTGGTGCTCAGGAACATGATTTAGCAGAAGGTTGCTAGTTAGGCCAGTATGGTTAGCTTATGGTTGGACTCGATGATCTTTAAGGTCTTTTCCAATCTGAGTGATTCTATGATTCTATGACCTGCTGGCCTAGCAAGATTAAATTAACAGGTTAAACTAATTCACCAGCTGTGACTTGTAGCAGCTGAGGAGCTGACACAGTTCCCCTTCTGCCTCTGATAGGGACCACCGCAGCCTACAGGAAGCAGAGCAGACACAATGACAACATCTACCACGGCTGTTGCATCGCCAGGAGACCACCTGCCACAACCCTTACAGGTCCATGTAACCACAGGGTCACTGATTAAACCAACTATGTGTTTTTATGTAGATATATTCATGTATAATCTAACAAACAGCTTTCTTACTGTAGGTTTGCCCCATCAGACCTATTCTGACACTCACATCTGGGTCATTTCATGTCTGGCAGTAGAGGAGGGTGCTGGTCTCCTAGCACAGATGAGTTCAAGTCACATAACTCAGGTATTTGCTACTCACTATTCTTCACTTCATTACTCTTCCCAGAAAAGAGTACAGACTGCTATTAGTAACCCATTTCAGGTGACTTTAATATGATGCAGTTGCAACGCATGAAAAAATCTGAGCTGATTCACATGATGTTTCCCATTCCCACGTGTCCCAGAACAAACTCCAGAAGAGCAACGCAGTAGCTGTGTCCACAAGTGCTTCAGCCACCCTGGCTGAACCTCCCGCAGGTCAAAACCTTGTGCATTACATCACTGGGGTTACATATCACACTGACCTCAACTGCACTGCAGACTCCCTTCGTCAGTAGCTCAGGTGTTGGCCTTACAGAGACGAGTTCCCACCGTCATCTCGTATGCATAGAGCTTCATAAAGGCAAAGTCACTCATGCCGGGAAGTAGCAAGGCACGAGCACATTCTGCACTCTAGTAAACAGAGTGCATGTGGTTCCAGTGACTCACCAAAGCAGAGCACCAGCTCTTGAGAATAGTTGCTCCCACTGCCAAGACTGAGAAATAAAAAAAAAGTTGGATGAGGAAATGAGGGGGGGGGGGGGAAGAAAATAAAACCCACATCAGATCATGGCTCATTTATTGTTTCAAGCAGCAGAGTCTGCTTTTGTTTTTGCTGGCTTTTCTCTTTTTTTTTTCTTCCACACAAATGAAACGAAGCATGGAAAGCAAAGGCTCTGCCAGCATCAGTTCTGCACTGACAGTTCATTCCTAATGGCTAGCTTCCCTGCTCATTGCAGATGAGTACAAATAGATAACATTCAAGGGTCTCTTCCAACTCAAGCTATTCTATGATTCTACGAGATGGGCCCCAAATTATAACCACCAAAAGTACAAATGAGTAGGTAGGTTTCTCCCAGAGATAGAGCCCTTACTTACAGCAGAGTGCACCCCTATTTCTTCACTTATTTCATTGCTGCAAAAAGTAACTCAACTATCTACAGCATGGCGTTGTTACTGACTTCATCACATCAGTAGTTGGAGCTGCAATCAACCCACAGTGCTGAGGGGGCCCTTGGAAATCAGGTGAACCATGGCACTGCCTAGAACCTTCAGTTTCACTTCAGCTCCTGAAACCCCCGTTAAAAAGATGCAAATTCTTTAAACAAATAACTGAAGCACCTGCCAGTTTGAAGAAAACTGTAGCAAAAAGTCTATGACAATCACAAACATCATGATTTACAACAACTGTGTCTTGTTAGTCATCAATATGAAGATTAAAACCAAAAATAGATATATTATCATATTAAATGTACTTTTTATACCCCATCTTGCCAAACAATCCTGATAAAAATTGCTCAAATACAAAAAAGAAACATTTTCAACTGTTGTTTCTTCTAAGAACTCCACACAGAGTTCACAAAGACTTCTTCACAAAGACACTAAGCTCAGGGCTTAGCATTGGAGGAAGATCAGTTTGAGTTAAGGCCTAAACTAAACACTAGAAATGTTGTCACTCTGCAGGTAGACTAGGATCAACCCCCTCATTTCTCCAAGCATAAGGCTTTAGCAAGAAGAAGACTCAATACTACATTCCTATGACTCACATCGCCAAATTCTGGGAAGAGACAATCAAGGCGTCAGCACAGCAGATCTTCAAGGTCTACATAATACTGACAACTGTTGGAGAACGAAGTATCTCTGGTAGATTAAGAGAAGATGTAAAGGTGTACCAATAACAACAGAACACTGTAAGATATTAAGCTCCATCTGGGAGCCTATGTTCAAGAAGGATGAATATGAACAGAACCCATCAGAGCTGCCAGGAGGGAATAACAAGTCCTTCTTACAAGGGAGATGAGAGCTGTCAGTTTAAGCTGCATGGTTCTGAGGAAACAAGACTGTTCTCCTTATCACAGAAACAGCAATTAAAGCTGATAACTTCACAAGGCCAAATGAGTATAAGTTGGCTATGAACAACTTCAGGCTTGAGCAAAAAGCTTTCCAGCTACACTCAGCTCTGGATGTTTTCCAGCAGTAGAGGAGCAGGTGGCCCAACCAGCCTTAAGATTCAGCTTGATATATTAATTGGTGAGATTATAACCTTGGCTGCTTAGGAAGGAAGAAGTCTTCAAGATCCCAGTAGCATTCGGTACTCATGTTCCTCTGCTCATTGATAACACCTCTTAATTGGCTTTTTCTTATTCTCCCTCACCTACGTGCTTCACCTACTACAACCATCCACGGTTGTACCCATCCACATGAACTCATTTTGGACATTTAATGGGAAATTCCAGAAACTCAGAGCTTTGAAAGACTACTGTAGAGAAAAGAAGTGTAATACACCTTATTTTGCAGGCGCAGTAATGAAGACAGTAGAAATCTGTTTCTGCAGTAAAGGAAACCTGAGCATTGTGCTGTACATGTAGAATTAACAGGAATTACACAAGTTCAAACTACCAGCAAGGGCAAAATCACTCAGTGACAGACAGTGCCATGTTATCCCACTCTTCCAAGCACAGACTCCAAATGATCAAAGCTTTTAAATGAGCCTGACATTTTTTTGTCAACCACCACTCCCATCTATTGCTGCTCGTCCTGTGCAGGCTACAATAAACCCAGTATAATTTCCTCCCAGTTAATGCATGTAAGAGCAGGGTTGTTCCTACCACTGCCAGTGTCTCCATTCCACTATCCAGAAGACCCCCAACACAGCAGACAGTCCTGTTTCTTATCCGCCAAATACTTCTATCTTCTTTTTTACTATGTCTTGGGAGATTACTGCTCAGCACTCGTTTAAGCCATTTATTTTCAAAGGCACTCAGATTATTTGCCTGTACCTCTGATATATTTCCAGCTTTCAGATCTGTATGTTTAGATAAAAAATAACTTTTCAAGTCCAACATTCAGAGTTCAGCTTTCAGCTGCAGATTTTCAATGAGTAAATCTCAATTAAGCCAGTAAATGCGGCTGCTGCCTTGCCAATGCGTGACACCATTTCCTTCTGGACATCCCCTGTGGCTTAGATACAACTACCAGGATATGTGAATTGATTCATTTCTTGTATTCTATCGCTTTCTAGCACAATGCCTGATTTGGGAGCTGCGAGGGTTTTCATGAGATCAGTGGGTTTGGACCAGATAGGACACCCCCAGCTCTCTGTGGGGCTGGGAAATCTGTCCTGACATTTTTGCTGAGCGGTCCCACAGTGCTCAGTGACGTGGGGACCCTTTTTGCCTTCAGGCTCTCTGCCAAGCAAACAGGAAAGCCTGGCTGTATGCAGACACGGCTGCAGCATGGGCTGAAATAAATCCCATTGGCACTGAGGATACAGAGAAATGACCGAGCACAGGCAAAACCCCTGCCCTTGCAGACTACAGGGACAACTGAATGGTGACAAATAATGAGCCATCCCACAAAAGAACAAACAAACAAACAAACAAACAGGGGGCATCCCCTAAAATGTTCCAGCCACAGAAACATGAATTATCATCTGATCTTTTAATCCAGATTGAGGCAGCACCTGAGTTTATTCCCATACGACAAGCCTGAGCCAGGGCAGGTCTTGCTGAGCACCACTAGGCTACCCTGAGAATTTGTAGCTGGGTGCCAATTTCCTGGAAGAGTTCCACCTTCAGCAGAACTTCATCTTGTCCTCCTCAGCCAAAGCCTCCCCACCCTCCTAGGCAGAAACTATGGCCGCTGATAGCCCCGGGCTGCTGCAGATTACTTAATGTTTGGACAAACATTCGAAAGCAAGGAGCCTTGTGAAAGCACTGAGAATTATGCAAATACAAAGCCAACAGGAAGCATTGGCATTTTATACAAGTTTGCCCTCATTCTATCAAAGCCTCGCAGCAATAACGTATTTCTCCCCAAGAAAAGCTGCTGGAATCATTTCACCTGCTTTAATGCACTCATATTTAGACATTCTACGTACCAAGAGTGCATGAATTAAATCAGTATCTCCATTTCATTTTGATTTAGTGTAATGAGGGGGGAGATCTTTGCAAGGGGAATCCACATCTCATTTCAGACCTTTGGCCAGACTCAACTGGATGGATATTTTTTCTTTACTGTCCCTGCCTGTTCCCATTGCTATCACCCTATCATCACAGATGGGACCAGCTTCAGAAGCATAGTTGGCTTACACAATCTGAGATAAAAGACTGAAGGCAGAAATCAAGCATTCTTCTATTCCAAGACTTAATTACCTCCTTGTAAGTCCTACACAGAGAGGGAGAAAAAACGATACCCAGGACTTGCAAATTCCCCATCCTCATACCCAAAGGCCCATTAGCTCCTTTCCACAGACAAGAAACCAAAACATCTCACATTTTCCTTGGCTTGATCTCTACTTACTGTTTATTAGCAGCCTGTAAAATTATGAACAGAAAATTTAAATAAATTTAGAGATGCATCTCAAAAATACACTCACAGCTCCAATCACACTGGCAACATGCGAATGAACAGGCTAACAGATAGAGGCTGGGGAGGAAGAGAGGAAGGAAACAGAAAATTCTTTTTGCTGCAGGAGTTTACTGCTATCTGGGAATGAGGTTGGGCTGCCCCAGCAAAAGAGCTGCGTACAGCACAGAGTGGTCTGCAGAGCCACAGTGACATCAGCACTGTAAGCACATGAGCAGCAGCAGACCAACCCCAGCAGCCTGCATTCACACTTCTCAGCTCTCCATATACTTCAACAATGAAGTCTCCCAAAAAAATGCTGCTGCTTCCTTTCCTACAGTCAGGTAGCGAATGCAGCCAGGGAACTAATTTGGCTTAAAAATAACCTGGCACAAGACAGAAAAAAAACCCGAGAACATCTATGAACTTCATAGCAAGTGTTATCACTCTATCAGAGCAGCTTTAGGTGTATAAGGGGCAGTGAAACTTGGAGCCAGTACCAGGAACACCAGGCTGCCACTGCTAAACCCAGGTGCTGCCAGCTTTTCTCTGGGGTAACACTTATCCTACTGCCTTTATCTTTAACAGTGAAAAATTAAGAACACCACAACGCAAAAACAACAGTTCCAGTTTGGGGCTCTCACTACAAGAAAGACATCAAGGTCCTGGAGCTTATCCAGAGATGGCCAGTGAAGCAGTAAAGGGTCTGGAACACAAGTCTTATGGGGAGTGGCTGAGGGAGCTGAGATTGTTCAGTCTGGAGAAGAGAAGGCTCAGGGGAGACCTTATCACTCCCTACAACTCCCTGAAAGGAGATTGTGGTGAGGTGGTGGTCAGCCTCTTCTCGCCTTTAACAGCGATAGAACTAGAGGGAATGGTCTCAAGTTGCACCACAGAAGGTTCAGATTGAGTAATAGGAAAAATTTCTTCTCTTAAAGAGTGGTTGGACACTGGAACAGGCTGCCCAGGGAGGTGGTTGAGCCACCATCCCAGAGGTGTTCAAGAGTGGATATGGCACTGCACAACATGGGTTAGTGGGCATGATGGGGATGGGTTGATGGTTGGACAGAATGACCTTAGTGGTCTTTTCCAGCCCTAATGATTCTATGACATCATAGCAAAACACTTTGCTTACCAAAATTTAAACCAC